TCTTTGAAGTGTTCTACCCACCTGTTTCGTTGCTCATCAGTGTTGGTGATTACCTCGCCTTCCTTGCTTTTCACTGGTCGTTCTGGTTTGCGGCGATTTCCAGAGAGTTTCTTTGTTATGTCATACAGTTCTCTCATGTTTCCTTCTCTTGCAGCCTTTTCCGCCGTCATTGCTAGATCTTCCACATATTTACGTTTGTCAGTTCTGATGCTCCTCTTCACTTGTTTGTTCACCTCTGTGTATTCAGCTTGTGCCTTGGCTTTTTCTGCTCTTGTTCGGCTGGTATTGATTGCTGCTTTCTTGTTCCTCCTTTGTTGAATTTTATCCAGTGTATCAACAGTGATCCATTCCTTGTGATGATGCTTCTTGTGACCCAGGAACTCATGACATGTTGAAGTGATTGCCTCTTCGATCCCCTTCCAGTTGCTCTCCATAGTAGTTCCTTCTTCATTGAGTAGATCATGAAAGGCTTGGAACTTGTTGCTGAGGACTATCTTGAATTTGTTGAGTTTGTTAGTACCCTGAAGAAAGGCCGTATTGAACTTCTGTGATATTTTCCGCCCCATTGTCCAGTGCTTCTTGAGTTTCACTTTCATCTTGGCGACCAGCAAGTGATGATCTGATGCTATATCAGCTCCTCTCTTGGTTCTTACGTCTTCCATCGTCCTCCTGAACGTTTTGTTGATGTAAATATGGTCGGTTTGGTTTTGCGTGGTGTGATCCGGTGAAGTCCATGTGGTTTTGTGTATGCGTTTATGTGGGAATATGGTGCCGCCTATGACCAGCTTATTGAAGGCACATAGGTTTGCAAATCTCTCACCATTTTCGTTCCTTTCTCCCAGTCCGTGTCGCCCCATGATGTCTTCATATCCAGTGTTGTCCGTTCCAACCTTGGCGTCGAAATCTCCCATCACAATGGTCAGGTCCTTTGTTGGGCACTTCTCGATGATTGACTGCAGCCTATTGTAGAATTGATCTTTAGCGTCTTCATTGTAATCGTTGGTAGGCGCATAGCATTGGACGATGTTCATTGAAATGCCCTCTTTCTTTGTTTTGAACGAGGCTTTGATGATCCTTGGTGCATGAGATTCCCATCCTATAAGTGCATTTTGTGCTTGTTTGGACAGCATCAATGCAACTCCTTGTGTATGTGGTGCATTTTCTTCTTCATGGCCGGAGTATAACAGGAGCTCTCCTGTAGTTAGTCGTTGTTGTCCAACTTGTGTCCAATGTGTTTCACTGATCTCAAGCACCTCTAGGTTGTATCTCCTCATTTCTGCAGCAATTTGGAAGGCTCTCCCGGCGTCCCACATTGTACGAACATTCTATGTATCTAAATAAATGGTGCGTGTTCTAAATGCGGCTCACCAACATTGTAGAGACTAATTTCCTCTATATCTGACTCCAGTGAATAGTATCCGTTAACCTAGTTTTTAACGCAGGCTAAATCTCCTAGTAGAATTATGGATTTGCTGGAGATTATTCAAAAGCCTGAACACGAGTTATTGAGACAGATTATTGTAAAATATTGGTAAAATCCGCAGCATTAAGGAAGCAAGCACACGGGGAAACCAAGTGAGTATATGTTTGTGTGTGTTAAAAAGCCACATATATTTATGAGTGTTAATTGGTTGTGGATAAATTATTGAATGTCTGTGTTTTACAACCAATGGGAGAATAGATTAAAGATTGGTGTGTAGACACGCACTCAATCAGACTCGCAAAGAGATTTACATAGCGGATTAAGTGTCTAAATTACAGTGAGCATACAAAAGAGATTCGTACAACCACTTTCCCTGCCCTGGCCATCAGTTTAAGATTTCCTTTAAAAGAACTATTTTTCATACTTCTTCCATTCTTTAATTTTTTAAAACTTTTGTAATTTTTGTAATTTTTTAAACTCTTGTAATTTTATTTCTGTTGCTTTTGAACTTAATAACTTCTCAACATTCATCTCTTGATTCTTACGTAACTACCATCCTATTGACCATCCATTAAAATTCTGTTCCTTCTTTGTTTCTTATATTACGCAACTTAGCAAATTCTTGATCACTTTGAATATTAATAATCCTCTTTCTTCCAATTTATTAATGTTAATTTAAATGTCATTATGTAATTATTACGTAACGTATCCACTCGATGAGTATTATATTATTATTGTAAAACGTATATATATTAGTGTAGAGCCATGATGAAAAACTAATTGAAAAGAAATTTCTTCGCTCAATTCGTTCCTTCTTTAAATTACAGTGAGCAGACAAATAATAGAATACTTGAGTGTGCTTACTACAACCGACTACTTTAGCGTGAACACGAAAGTGAGCAAGGAATTGTATTGGACTACAGAATTAAATGCTCAAATACTAATTCACATAAACACCGCTCTAATCCTCAGGAAATAAAGCCATTTCTTAGACAGTGAAATGCACTTGTCCTTTAGATCACTTTTGATTGCCGTCGATTGACTTTCTCATTAGACTACCTCTGATTAACTCTCTATATCCAGTGTACTATTAGGCAGATTAAAATAAAATTCGATGACTTTAAACGTATGGGGTTGGTGCAAACCAATGGAAAATATGTTTGTTCACAACTTGTCAGAGTTAGTTTCCGCATAGAGTGGTCTGTGTATCACTCCACCAGCAAATAATTTTGCGACCGACAATTTATGGTAACCCAAGTGGAGTCAGGAAGATTCATCAATGGGTCAAAGCCAATCACCGAAACTTGAGATACAAGAAAGTATATGAACTTGCAGTGTTTAAAGCACATTATTATCTATGACAATAATGGAGTTGGAAATGTGCAAATGACTGATATATTTCAACATGTACCAATGTCAGATTTCGTTCTTACTTCTCTTAATGAAACTAGTTTCGTGTTAGCATAATTACGCATCGAAGACCAAGTTACGAATAATTCGATTTGCTGCTGTTAATAGAGCTCTGATGTGAGGACTCGAAGGTCTCCAAATGGGAAGTTTATTATAAGATGAAACTATCTCATTCCCGTATATGACATAATTTTGTCGAGTTATGCCATCTAGACAATAGGAAAAGAATAACCAGGCAATATGTACTACTTCACAAGGGTCATTGCTTATCTTGCAATTAGGACTTAAAAATATTTGCTTAGACGACCACCAGAACATGAGTTCAAACTAATACTGGTGACACTGCTATGTACTATTATACAAGTTCCTATCGTCTTCCTAATTTTCTACATCACCACTAACATTTACAACGCGAATTTGTACAGCCTGTATATACTTAATTAGAACGTTGATCAGCATAATGCCCAAATGAAAGCAAGTAGTTTTTATAATACTCATTTTTATACGAATTTAAATGACACCTAAGACAGATTTTTCTTCTTTTCTACTAGGCGTGTAGACGGTTTACCACGCTGAATTCCTTCTACTGTACTAAGCTTCAAGCAAAGTGCTGAACTTAGAATGCCAAAACCACTTTCTAATAGTTATGTATCTATGTAGCGTTACTTTACATCTTTTATATGTTCCTATTCAGCTATGTTATAGGACACCCCAATTTATCTAAGCAGTAAGAATAATTGCGATATTTCAGAAGTATACTTGTAGAATTATGATCACCTATGATATTATTACTGCTCTAATAATAGATCTAATCCTAAAATTGTAGATTTGTCATAATATAACGACCTAATCTATAAAATCTAACGTGAAAGTCACGTCGTCTACACCAATTTATTGCATCGTAACAATCACCGATATATGATGGAAAACAAGCTTAGGCTAGAGACAGAACAATGTATTTAATATGAATAACAGACATAAGGTAACATTCAACAGGGACCACACCTGCAAGGCCGAGCCATGCTGCCAGATCTATTCGAATTAATTCAGTTCACTGTTCCCGCCTTATCCATCGTTGGGTTTTTTTCCGCGTTAAATGTTGAATGTCTATTTTCCCAATCGTCTTATGTTAGGGCCCAATGCCACTACACTACCTTTCCCACCAGAATCAAGGAGACGTTGGTTCGATATAGATTTGAGTGAAGTTGTTGCGCTCCGGAGGTTGCCAAGAATAATAAGAATCCTCCGGGTATTGATAAGCTGAAAGATGAATAAGAAAAGGCGTCAGAATATATATATATATATATATATATTTATATATATATATTAGAAACGACATAGTAAAGTTTGACCGATTTGAAAGTAGTTTATATCACTAACCGATTGTAGCGACCCAACCATGGGAACCCGAAGACTTAGGAACTGTTGTGTTTTAGTGTGGGACCTCTCACAGCTGCGCACCCATGATCATATCATAGATCGAATCCAAAAGCTTTAGGTTTTATGGTGAGTATGCAGTCTTTAGATTGATGAGACAGCATCCAACGGTTTATTTTTCCAAATATTCAATTCAGGATATTTTGAGACCACAATCTTTTATATTTTTTTATTTATCAATATGTCACGTTATGATACACGTTCAATAAACGACGAAGAGTAGAAACGCTTAGAAGAGGTCGACGACATACTATCGACATTAAACACTCTTCCTAGACACCCAAATTAGTTCAGTCAAAAAGCAAGCGATGTGGTTCATATGTGCTAGTTTTTCAACTTGGTAAATGACACTGGAAAGCCACCAATTTTTACTATTTTTAGAGACAAAAAACGCTTCGTTAATTTACACCTAAATGAAGCTTCTCGACAACCACGAGAACTAATGACAGAAACGCATTGTGAACCATACTAATCCCATCGACCGACTTTTAAAGTAGGGACTGCTCAAGAATTAATATCTATGTGATCAATCTGAGTAATACATCATCCATGAGCCAATCTTTCGTGCATGAATCCACACATGTTTCTCCTTACATAGAAAATGTGAAGCTCTAAATCTCATAATTAAATATTTCTTAGTCACTGAATCAAGTGTGACATGTATAATACATATTTAATACTAGCTTCAACAGATACATTTATAGGAAAACACAAACAAGTAATCATAATCTTACACCTCAGTACTGGATGTTGATAATGTATTATTAACTGATGCTCCTCCCAGCAAGTCATTTTGACCACTACCAGATCTAGATGAAGTAGCTTGAGATTGCAAATTATCCAACTGTTGAGTAACTTCATCAGCCCAACGACAATTAATTAATTCATAAATGTGCAACGAAGCCCTTGATTTTGCAAAAAAAAAGGAAGAAAGGGGTAGATTCGATCTCTCCATCTGGATAATATGAAAGATGGAAAGTATTTACCATTTTGATTGCAAGTTATATTTATTTAAAATAGAATAATCTTCAAAATATCATTCTCCTAAAGGGAAGTATTAGTGGAGTTTTGTTCTCTGAGCTGGATGATTTGGTCGTGGAAGTATTAGTGGTAATAAACAAGTAATGAAAATACATTATTAGGCAAAAGTTTAGTAACAACCAAATGGGAACAGAAGGCACTGCTAGGATGTAATCCAACTGTTGATTCATCGATGCAAGTATTTCTATTTGGTCTTATATATTTTCCTATCGAGAAACCCAAGACTTAGTTTGAAAGTTTAATCATACATTGGATAAACCCGGGGGTGAATAGCACAGTAAATATTTAGATACCACATAAATTTAGGTGAAATTATGATTTATCTAATTTGAGTGATCACTGTCAACAAGTTGAATTTGTGCAGGAATCCGGAAGACTTCAAGTTGTGTTCAGATAACTAACTGCATACATTGACGGGAGAGAAGAGCTTGTGCTGATGCTCTTTAAAATGAAAACTGAGGTTTCGCCGTTAATTTAAATATAAAAATTATAGAAATGCTACAGTGGAGCTACAAATTTACATAAACACAGATAATTCTTGGGTTAATTTAATTCAGCCACTAGTTTTAAAAAAAGCACACTATATATGAACTACGTCGATCCCATTTAGAGCAAAAGAAGATAATAAGCGACAACCAGTATATCCAAAAAAGCAAGACGAAATCTTATAGTAACTAAAAGAATACTCTAATCCTATCGCTAACAATAACGAACAGTTTGATTCTTTACTGATATAAGGTCAGAACCATAACCTACAAAGTGTTTTACAAATTATTTAACTGATATCTATGATTTGGAGTAATGACCTAGTAGTTAAGGCGTTCAACTAAGCTAATAAGCCTCAGGTTTGAACTCCGCTCAATCTACTTCGGTTTAGAAAATCGGTTAGTATCGTTGGCCTTAACACTTACACTCCAACTCATAACTAAGTGCCTTGTGAATGAGTTAATTTGAATTTCAAGTTGAAAATTCATACTTTGGTCGTATTTTCAGAGACATCATTAGGTCCCCTGCATAGTTTCCATCATATAATATGTCAACATGAAGCGATGATTTATAAAACCATGATTACCAATTATTGCTGTCATCTCTACGATAAGTCTATTGAACTGGTATATTCAAGTGTGACCATTTACTAGGTGTGATGAGGAATCGAATAAAAAGCTAAGTTAGTAAGTATTGAGATTTTAGAAGACAAATGACAACTTCTTCTCTATAGATTCGCACTCCCCAGAAGTGTTCACAAATGACAACACACGGAATTTTACTTAGTACTGGTAACAAGCAAGAGTTAATTCATTCGTTTACGCTTTCAAGTACGGTACATTTTTAAAATAGCGATATTTGTATGTGATATCTCCGATGAACTGTCATGACGAACTTCACAGTTTGGGATGTTTTTCCTAGAATCGAGGGGTAGTGTTGCGACTTTATGAGCCGCTTGTTACCACGTAATCTATCCGCCAATCAAAATACGACTTATTCGCTCTTATACTGTACCTAACCAATGACGTTCGACTAGTCTGATCAGCCTAGCGTCCTATTGACCCATTGCCCGCCTAGCCCGTCCAGCTGAGTCCAGAATGCCAATAACAGCCTCCACTATGCAAATCATTTATTTCAGACATACTGGGTTTATATACCAAACAAACAGACCGCAACGCACCATAAAATAGGAAATAACGTTCATACACAATAAAGCCAAAAAGTGGCTGTGAACGTGGGAGGCAGTAGTCAATAAACTGAACATAGCTTAAGAACAGTAAATCGTACAATAATAATATATAGGTCAAAATAAAGCTTATAACAAGGGGAATATAGATATACATAATCTAGTTACTGAATATTTACACCATAAGAATATATAAATAATATTAGTCCATTAATAGGTTTCGGAAGTTACTCGTAATGTGATCTTCACTAGGGTATAACAGGTAGCACTGACGACGCTTAAAGAATACACGACACATTTCGTCTAGTTTCCTCATTATCAGCAACAGGGAAGCTGGTAAGTCTAGTCAATTCGAAATACTATTAACCGATGTCGTCATTCCATTAAATTTGTGAAACGAATTTTGGGAAATCTGCCTTAAAGCCAGATTACCAGTGAACCCAATTATTTCTACAAATGTATTTTTGTTTTTTAGTACAAATCAAAGGTATGTAATCATCCTTACAGGAAAGTTACTCCACGATATTCATATGTCCAGAAGTTTATTCACTTGGGTTAATCCCTTTGAATAGATTTTCAATGTACTAATAATATTATGGGGTAAACGAGTAATTAAATAATTCATTAATTGTGTTGTTTAAGTGGTTTGAACCAGAATGTAAGGCATTAACGCGAAACAATTCTTAAGACTATAGACGATTTGTTGTTCTTACATGAATCCTACAACGGACTGTGATGACATATCCGAGAACTCCCGTACATATCCTGAAATCATATCATTGACAGATTGTAGCGCCAAACATTTATATAAGGCATCTTCAGGTAATAATACTAAGGAGAAAACTTCAGTAGCTGATAACAACAATATCCATTGGCTTCAGTGCTCCCGAATTCTACTGACTGAAATATATAAACAATGATTTTGCGTGGCATAGTATGGCGTCGTGCTTATTAAACTATTCAAAAGAAATGTTATTTTTATCCATTTGAAAACCACATACAAAATGTATATTGAAGCAATTAGGAGATATTGACCACTGGAGTAAGTGATCGTCGTACTGTGATATTACATGCATCTTACTCACTACCTTCTTGCGGAGAGGATGCTGTTTACAAAATTGAAACGGCGAATAGCGAATGTTCGGCGCTCAAACCGGGTTGATTGATACAGAGTGCCTGTCTAGGGGAGTCGGAAAACCCTGATTCCAAATCAATGGTGCGCATGGTATCCAGGATCCTGAGGGAACAAAAGATGTACGGAAACAGCTCCTTCCACAAATCTATTCTGAAATTTTAACAACCACGATGGTTGTGCTAACGGGTCGGTAGTTCTCGTGTTTATGTTTCGTACCTGTTTTGAAGACAGGACTTATTATGGAGTTCTTCCAGTCTTTTGGTAGTCGACCCTGGGTTACAGATAGATTAAAACATACAATTGGGGGGTTCGCAACGAATCTAGCTGGTTCCTTTAGTAACCTAGGATGCAGTTCATCGGGTCCCGTGGATTTACCTATGTCCAGCTTACTTGGCTGACCAAATACATCGAGTTCTTTAATGGTCACGCTGTCCAGTGTTTGTATGGCAGGATTTTCATGGACTGACCGGGAGGGTGTTTCTACGGTATATACATTACTGAAGTAGTTTGAGAACACTTGAGTTTTACCAAAGTCGCCCTCCACTAATGATGAAGCAGTATTGTCTTTCCTCTTCTTTTTTTCCTTTGATCTATATACGAAAATAAACGTTTAGGACATTCTATGGATTCCTTGTTAATTTTCTCTTTGTACAACCTTCTTGACTTACGGAGTGTCGAGGCACAGGTATTCCGAGCTTTTCGATACTGAGATTTTGTCTCATCAGTCTCCAGTAACCTAAACCTATCCCACATTTTTCCTCTTTTACGGAGAAGGATGCGGATCTCCCTACTGAATCATGGTGGAGGATTTCTCGGCCCCCTTGGTGTAGTACAAGGGATGTGGGGTTAGCGACTTTTGAGTTTAAACTTCGAAATACGTCCCAAGCCGTTTCGATTAAGGACTCTGGATCTATTGTCCAATCTACTGACGACGTTGAGTGTATGATATCTTCTATGTTGGCTTTCCAGACGTTAGGTCTGGATTGAGCTGACGCGTGCAGTTGTTTGACAATTATATGAATGTCGAAGGTTAAAACTGAATGATCGCTTTTACCTAGGGGTGGCATGTAATGGAGATTCGTAACGTCATCCTAATAATGAGTCAATATAAGATCTATTAGGGATGATTCAGTCCTGGCAGTACCTAGTCGCTTCTTTTACACGTTGCACCAGAGCACATGAGATAACCGCATCAACTAGTCCCTGCTAGAAGGAATTATCTAACAATTCGGTTCGCAGATTTTCCTAGTCTACCATGGGAGCATTAGAGTCCCTTAATATTAAACATCGACCACTTTTTGACCAAGTACTGAGACTGCTTAACAAGATCTCATTTACTTCACAGCTTGGACTGCGATAAACCAAACCAGTCAGCAGCTCTTGACCCTTGCATTTCAAGGGGTAACTAACTAATTCACACCTCCCACTCTCATGGTATACACTGTCGATAATGGCAAATGGAACAGCATTCCTAATGAATAGAGCTGCTCCCCTCCTCTACGCTTCTGGATCCTGTCGGCTATTACTAACGTAAAACCCTCAAAATCAAGCTCCATACAATTTATAGACCGCGTCAGCCAAGTTTGTGTGACAGCGATAATATTTGGCTTTATAGAGTCATTATGTACACCTAGTTTCTACCGCTTAATAAGCAAGCTTTGGGCATGAAAGTAACAGATCCGAAGCCTATTTAAATGGCTTCGTGCTGCACCCAGAGTAGCTTTTTCATCATTCTCTGTCGAAGACTCACAACCCGGAAGCTTAACATTTTTGGGTCCTTTTCGCCAGCGTCTCGTCTATTTACTCAGTCCGCCAGCGGCAAGTCCTTACCGACAAAAACTCCAGAACCCACTTAATTGATATCCATTCTGTAAAATTAGGTCCCGTTCATTTGGAGATTTGAATACTGCTTTAAATACCCTGGCTTTAAGTTCGGTTGGCTACCAAGTCCATATACCTTTAGCAAAGCAACTCCGGAGATATTTTGAGGCATAAGCTGATTTATTAGCTGTTTTGTCAGCCCGATGTCATACTCAAAACGAGTTTTCGGTTCAGAGCTTTCATTATCCTTGATTCTATGAAAAATAACTGACCTGTCACTGTGATCAGTCTTCAATTTGTTGACTGCTTTTTTGTGAGATGGTAGGTTTCTCTTTTACATCGCTATGTCGTTTCTGGCTTACGACCTGTACCCATCCATCAACTTCGATTGGAGTAGCAACCACAGTTGCGTCAAACATACTGTGGGATTCCGGAGGGTTGTCGACGACTTGGGGAGTCAGGTTGTGTTTCCTGCTGGAAATAGAATGAATCTTGAGATTGCAATTCCTAGGCGTTTCCTGCTGGATACCATTTTGAGGACGGGGGACAGAGGAATCTTCCTTTCGTGAATTTTTAATTAAGACGGACCTCTTTGAAGACTGTCTTTTCTCTTTAAATCTGTGGGAGTCAGCTGTTTTCGAGATCACTTGAGGGTGCATCACATCAATTCGCGTGCTCACAGAGCGAGTGCCCGACTGCGCTTTCTGAAACACGTTTTTGCAGCCTTTACCATTGAAATGACCTCGGTTAGCAAGCTGTTTGCGTCCAAACAGCACTGATGACAAATCCATACGCAAGCGTTTTTGCTGAACCATTTGACAGCCACAGGCGTCAAATTGGTGCAAACTTCGTGATACCAGCACTTGCACTCATCGCACTGCATGTTGCTTTCAACGGGATATCGACAGCCCGGACGTTGGCAACTGCTTTTTTGCACTGTCCAGTCATCAAACAGAGGTTTTTTAAAAAAAAACTAGATAACATAGCACCCAGAGACAAAAACGATCTATAACCAAAAAAGTGCGAAACTGTAAATCGTTAGAACCTAGAGTACTAACAAATACTATAGAAAACAAAGTACTCAAAAGTACCGGCTATAAATGGTTCAAATGATTGTGGACGGAATAGAAGAAGCTTTCGCTTAACAGGCTTCCGTGTCTAGTAGCAAGGGATCACCAAATCCTCCAGGCAGGAACCTAGGTATGTTAACAATAAAACAGGAAAAGAAATTAATAAATCATAGTGCGATACTATCCTTAGTCCTTAAGAATAGATCAAGTCGCCTCTTAAAGCACTCCTAGGAAGTTGCTTGGACTAGCACGGCCAGTAGCGTATTCAAGCATTTGACAACTCTTAAGGAGTAGAAGTTGTGTCTACAGTCCGTTCTGCTGTGTTGTGTCTCCAGTTTTTGGGTGTTACATCTTAGGTTAGTGTTGGAACTAGGCTTAAGTAGGTGTTCGAGAGGATGTCCAGAAGTGCTAAGGATACTGTAAGCCATTAGAAGGCCACCTCTTAGACGCCTATACTCTAATGCGTAAAGGTTAATTGATTCGAGGCGATCTTAATAAGGTTTAAATTTGAGTCCTCGAACTGATTTCGTGGCTCGCCGTTGGATACGCTCCAGAGTGTTCTTATCATTTTGGAGTGAGGGAGGAAATACTATTTTTCCGTACTTTAAATGGGGACGGATAAAACTATTGAAGATTATATGGAAAGTTCTTCCGTCAAACTGGCCAAAAATGCGCTTCAATGTTACCAGTACAAGGTTTGCTCAAAAGGCATTTTTGTCGCAGTTAGCGTAAGACTTCAAATCGTAGGCCACCAGGACTCCTAAATCCTTTTCGACTTGAGATACTACTAGAGAGGAGGTACCTAAGTTATAACTGAAGTCTGCGACATATCGCAGATGGACTACTTTACACTTTGAAATGTTAAAGATAAGTCCTTTATCGTCTGCCCAACTTTGAGGCCGAGCCAGATCCTCCTGAAGTGCTTGTATATCGTCTTGGTTGCGTATCTCTCTCCAATGTTTTACGTCGTCGGCAAAAAGTAATGAGTCCGACGTTACCTGTTGAGGAAGATCATTTATGTAGATCAAGAAGAAAAGAGGTCCTAGTACTGAGCCCTGGGGGACCCCACTGGGACACTCCATAGCCTGAGATAAAGTGAAATTAACCCTGACCTTAAAGTGTCGATTTTTCAGGTATGAATTGAGCCAATCGATCAGAGGTGGTCTGATACCCAATCGTATGAGCTTATTGATAAGACATGTATGATAAACCTTATCAAAAGCTTTTGAGAGACCTAGGTAGATGATATCAACCTTCCCCTTGTGGTCAAGGATGCTTGTCCATCTGTCCACCGCAGTCGGCAGGTTGGTAATACGAGAGTAACCCTTCCTGAAATCAAGCTGTTGGGGTGAGAAGAAATTTAAGGACAGTAAATAGTCATATATACCATCGCATATCAGGGACTCCATGATTTTTGAGGGTATAGAGAGAAGAGATACCGGTCGGTAACTTGAAGGTTCGCTGCGTCTACCTCCTTTGAAAATTGGTGTGATGTGAGCCAGCCTCCATTTTTCCGGTAGTTTTCCTCGACTTAGCGAGTGTGAGAACATCACGCTAAGCGGCGTTATCAAAATTGAGGCCGCTTCTCTCAGTATGGCGGAGTGGGCCATGTCCGGGCCAGGAGAAGTGTCTAATCTTAAGTGCTGAAGTTTCCGGAACACCAAGTCAGCGCTTAGGTTCACTTCGGAAAGTCCTGTGGAATTGCAAACGAAACTGTCATCAGTAAGGTTATTGTCGGCCGGTTGAAATGTCTGGGAGTACTGTTCAGCCAGAAGGTTAGCGGCGTCGCCATCGTTGTTGGTCGGGCTGTTAAGACCTACCAGTTGGGAAGCTCCAGTTTTGGCTTGACGAAGAGAGGCTGCATAACGGAATAGG